AAGAATCAATCGTAAGTATATTTAGTTATATATATTAAAAAGGCACTACTATTAATTATATTTACTCTATTTCTACTTCTATCCTAATGTTCACCTTCACATGTATTCTTATCTATTTTATTCCTCTTATATTAGTTATTCTTCTTATATTGTTAAAATTTATGGAAAAAAAATATATGGTAAAAGTTTCTATAGGTTATGTATATGTAGGCTGGTTTTTACTTTCTGTAAATTTCTGAAATTTCCATTTCTGAAGAAAGTGTAAATTCCATAAGTTGCCGGGGTGTAATATGATAGTAGACCACCCTATATATAATATTGTAATATGATGGTATAGACCACCCCCTGTATCTAATAAATTGTTGGTTTGTTACATATTTGGCAATAGGAAATATGTTGCAACTATTGCATACCTAGCAGAATCTATGACACAGTCATCGATCAATGCCTGTAATTAACATTATTAATAAAGATACTTTTTTCATAGACTAAGGTGTTTGATTCCTTCTCAACCAAGAGTGTATAAAGTATTACAACAGATTCCCCACGTACTTTTGCCGAACCCTGTATAAAATACCTTAACATGTATGGATTGAACAATTCGGACATCCTTGTTACAGCATACGTTAAATAAATAAAAGATCCATCTGTAGTTTTTCTCATTTTCTCAATAATTTCTTGTTGGTCAGCCACTTCAGCTAATTTATTTTGAGAAAGTCTCAACTTCTTTCGTCTGAAAAAAATGCTCGTATGTAATCTACAATATAACGGGTGTTGCATCGTCGGACGGGACACAGGAAATCCCATGTAAATTTTAATGAGGTCAATTATTCACTTCCCTAATTATTTTAGAGAATAATTCTATTTATTGTTAACTTAACAGCTCTGCTGAATTTCGCCGAGTAAGAAATAAAGACATTATTTATTTAGGTTTATTGAAGAGCACTAAAACCCACATTCAAAAGAATAACTTTCGATATTTTTGATTAAAAAATTTTAAAAGATAACTGTCAAATGAAGTTGTCATTTCAGAAATTTACCTATTTAGTACTTTATTATTATTGAAAACTCATTCCTAGATAGGAAATTTTAAAGATGTATTTATAAATACAAATTAATATGAATTAAAGTAAAATATAGTAATCAATAACAAGGTGAATTATAGTATTATTACAATATTCAATAACTTATTAATTTAGGTACTATTAAATTGTTAGAACTTTAGGATTTAAGAAGATGTTCAAATATTCCTCCATCGACTGCTAGACAATAACCCAGGCGATCATAAAATTCTCTTCTTACATTCGCTAGTTGGTAAACTGAAATTCTAATGCATTCGGCAGAAATAGTTTTTTTAACTCGTCTAGATTTGGGTACTTTTTATCCTTGTATATCCTGTTTTTTAAATGGCCCCAGAGAAAGAAATAATTTGAAGAAATATCAGGAGACCTTGCTGGCCAATTTACTGTATGATTTAGGCCAATAACGTTTCCGTTAAAACTATTGTCTAAATATTCCCGAACAGCCAGGGTACTATATGCCGGGCAGCCATCCATTTGGTACCAAACTTCCTGATTTTCCCTAGCGGCATCATGTAAAGCAGGTAAAATATGATTTTCGAGTAGTTCCAAATAATAATCTGCATTTAAATTTCGCGTAAAAAATAATGGCCCGATAATATTGTGTCCGAATATCCCTGCCCAAACATTTACTTTATGTGGATATTGCGTCATTGTTTCGACAAACCTGTGTTGGTTTTCTTTGTTCCAATATCGATAATTTTGAACATTGAGTTCGTTATTTAAGGTAAACGTGCATTCGTCAGTGATACATATGTTTTTTAAAAATTCCCTATCCGTGTTTGCTCTTTTTATCATATCAAATCAAAACGCCAGTCGCCGTATTTCGTACCCATCTCGTAGCTCATAATACCATTTAATCATCAATACTTTTTCTTCGGTAGTGTAATTCATGGCTAATATTTTCGATGTAGGTATGAGTTTTTAATAATAATAATAAAGTACTAAGTAGATAAATTTCTGAAGTGACAGCTTTATTTGAAAGTTATCTTTGAACTTGACTGGTACTCATAAGTAAATACAGGGCCATAAGAAATGAAAAATATTAAAAAGAAATCGGCGATAACTCATAAACGGGCTAATCAAAAATATCTAGAGTTACTCTTTTGAATATGAGTTTTAGTACTCTTCAATAAACCTAAATAGAATTATTCTCTAAAATAATTAGGGAAGCCAATAATTGATCCCATTAATATTTACATGGGATTTTTTATGTCCCGCTCGACGATGCAACACCCAGTATGTTTTTTTTAATAACAGTCCAAGTATTATAACATACCATGAATTATAGATTATAGTCTGCCCAACGAGAGAATATATGACAATGACAAGTGTTAGCCCTCTCTCTCTCGCTGGACTGAATTGTCCACTAAAATACAGACAATATTTAAATAATAATTATTTTAACCTACATATACAATTTGTAATACCGTATGATCAAATGAGTTCTGAGATTCTGAGGGTGGGCTTTTATGACGTTGTTCAATGATTTTGGATGGCGTCACAAAAAAGGAGTGGGATATAATCGCATCGACAGATTATATTATCCGCAAGTAAAGTTAAAAAAAAGTATCCTGCCATAGCAGTACTTTTGGCATAACTAAAATAGGATTCTTTGAAAAAACAGTCAGAATAACATAAAGGTAGATGCCAGGTGGTGGCGTAGAGGTACAGCTCTCGTCTACCAATCACAAGGTTGTGGGTTCGATTCCTACAGCCGGCATTTCATCAGCCAACTATTTTTAATAAAATCTATAGGGAGCTACTACTACTATACTATAACAAAAAGGTCATTATGAAAAATAAAATTCTTACTTAGATGATTCTGGTCCGCTATCTCGAAAAGTAACTGCAGTAGCAACACTCAATGTCTCACTCCCTGAAAATAGAGTTCTAAATATATTTTCATAAATGTATATACCGGGTGCGTCTCAAAAGTGGCTCACTCCAATAACTTTTTTTTATTTTTTCAGATAAAACAGCGAGATTTGGTATGTTAGTATATGACATAAATTAGGAATTAATTGAATGACATATTCAATAATTATCAAAGCACAATGTACCTTACAGCCTTTGAAAGAGAAGGAGGGTAAAAGGACCATAACTCACAATCTTTAAGTTGTTTAATTTAAATTTTAATGCTTAAAAAAGCAAGGGGGCGACATGTTTCGGGAATTTAAAATATTCCCATCATTCCCCCAGTTTCTATATTATTATTTCTCTTCTTTTAATCTTCAGGCCCAAAACTAAAAACAATTACAGAGGTCAAATTTATAAAATACAATCACAAGTTAAAAAGTCAAAAAAATTGTCTGTCTGTCTGTCTGTCTGTCTGTCTGTCTGTCTGTCTGTCTGTCTGTCTGTCTCTCTGTCTGTCTGTCTGTCTGTCTGTCTGTCTGTCTGTCTGTCTGTCTGTCTGTCTGTCTGTCTGTCTGTCTGTCTGTCTGTCAGTCTGTCTGTCTGTCTGTCT